CGTGTGCGGGGCTGCCGTCCGCTTAGCTGTAGCTCGCCATCCGTTGCGGGGCGGGGGGGTGTCCTCCAGCCTTACCGCCTCCCTCGTCCTCCCCGGACCCGGGGGTGGGTTGCTTCTTGCAGAAGCTGCGGGGGAGAGGAGGGACGCCGTGAGCAGCGCTGAGCTCCTCGTCTGCTTGTGCCGGGAAGCGTTAGGGAGGCTTGGCTTAGCGTGCTCTTGTCGAAATAACGATGATCAAACTGGTCGTCTGCTGTAGAGTTTCCTTGATCTTAAAGTTTGGGCGTCCTTGGTGATACCACTGAGATCTCGCAATCTCACTTCTTATTTTTCTGTGCCTCAGGAAGAAACTCGGTGGGGGGAGGGAGAGTTAAAAAAATTGCAACACTTTCACTGAGGTGCAAATGCTAGATTGTTCTTCTTCACATCTAAACCTGCACGTTTAAAGCTAGTATCTAAATTCATGTCGGGGTTCCTGAGTTAGCAGTAGACTGGCTTAAATGCTGAGTGCCCTAGTCAGTGAGAAATGCAGGTGTCCATCAGGTGCAACCACCAAGCTTAGCCAATGTTGACATGATGTGCAGTATTCCCGAATTTGCACCGCATATATCCTTTGAAACAACCTTTCAGTGGCAGCTTCACGACTGCATATTCTTCTGAAGCTGCCCCCCCAAACTGCTTAGTATAAGGCTCTAAAATTGTCACCTTTATGTGCCACCTCTAAGCTGATAATCCATGAGAAAGTTGGAGGCTAGGAGCCCACCTAAGTAGTCCACTGCCTGCAGGATTTGGGAACTACTGACGAAGGGGTCTGATGGCTGTCTCGTACCGCAAGAATGTTGGAAGTTGATAATGAAATATCTGTAGTCAACATTCAGGTTCCCTTTAGTGAGGTAGCAGCCATGCGACCCCTCCTACTAAAGCAGTCAGATCTTCAGAGGACAGAACCCGCAAATATTTGTCTGTGTGCTTTGGCTGGTGCCTGCCTGCAGCCTGCTCGTGATTTCCCCAGCGCTCTGCTGGTGGAGCAGCTCACATGAGTACTTCTTAATTGGCTTCAGGCAAAATATGCCAGCTCTCATAGACTACACAACAGCAAACCGGTGGAATCAGTAATTTACAGCTTCCTGCCATTCTGTGCTGATGCTAGTGAGAAATCCTGATCAATTTGTTTAAATTCCTTCAAGATGGTTGGTTTTTATTTGCTTTGGTAAATATTTGGAAGTATAATTGCTTCCTTTAGTTGAAAATCACCTTTTGCACTGATGGAACCAGCGGAGAATAAATTCTTCCTACGAAGTGTAAATGTGCTAGCTCTAAAGGAGGAAAAAAACAAAGGAAAACAAAAAAACCCAGCACCCCCACACTCAGAAACCTTTTATCGTGAGGTAGTGTCAAAATAAAACAGATGTGAAAATTATTTCAGGAAGAACCACTGAAGCACTACAGCTTTTATTTTTCATTAGTGCATAGTTTTGGGTTTGGGTACAGTTTCCATTTGTTCTGCTTTTGTTACTTTTATTTTTTGAGGTACAGTTTAAAAAGTGCAACACAGTGAGTAAACCAGAGGATAATTCTTCACTGTTAAGTGCTGTCATGCATAATGCATATTCAGTCAGTTTATTATAAGCTTTTGGTATTCAGTAGTAATCCAGTGACTTGTGTGAGAATATTAAATCAAGGCTTCAAGGATCACTGGTTTTTACATTTGATCCGAGACTGTTAGTTTGAAAAAATTGAGCTACTGCAAATAGTGACACAACTGTTATTGATTTTCCCCCCCCCCCTCTCTTTCCCCTTATCAAATTTAGTCATCAATATCACAATTCTGAGCTGGTTTAGACACGTGAAGACCAGTAGTTCCTCTGAAGTCACTGGAGCTACTCCAGTTTGTAAGTCTGTGTGCTTACAGTATTAGGGGTTGTGATCTTGTTTTAGAGTACATATCTTTTCCCATATTTGGTTTTATCAAGTGGATATAGTCAGGCATTTTGAATGATTAATACCACTGGGACTTTGGGGAGCCATAACTATTAGGACAGATATTAAATGAAGTTGTAATTTCACACAAACGAGGAAAAATATAGAAAATACAGGATTCAAAACCTTCATATTTTGCAGTCAAATTAGTTTAATTAACCTCTTTCTTCTGGTTCCTGGTGTAATTGAAATACTGATGTTATAATTTTTGGTATTCTCAATAGCTGATGAATGGGTCTTCATTTCAGATAAAATCTCAGCATAGGATTTACGTCTTTCTTGAAACAGTGGTCAGTCAGTACTATTTTAGAACTGTGGTGCAATGTGGGAGAGAAATGATAAAAACCAGCAGTGATAACATAATCCCGTGTGATGGTGATTTTTCATTACCTGCATTGAATGCTATTGTTAGTAGCATTAATCACAACGATTTATAATACAGGGCGTTGTTACAAATTCTCCATTTTCAATTCTATTGTGCATACACTCAAATACTAAGTATGTAATAGTCTTATTTAATATATCATATTGTGTGCGCACCTCCTCCATCGGAAAGGAAAGGAGAATTTGCAAGAAACGATCTAAACCTATGGGCATTTGGCTCCACCTTCAGAGATCAGAAGGAACAAATGACAAACCTTTGTTGACTAAGCTGCCTTGCCTGCCTTCTCTCAGAAGTGTAAAAGTAGATTTCCCCCCACCCCCCCCAACAAACTGTAAAGGAGGCTTGTGTGGAGCTGATGCCTGGACCTCCATTTTTAGACACCTGTGTGATCAGCAGAAAAATTTGAACATCAGTGGGACAACCTTTGGTTAATGTTATGTGTATGCTTTGCAGAAACCAGGTCTTAATGCAGTATTTCTGCGTATGGCATTTTAGGGGAAGTGTCCAGGTAAGTGTCAGCCCAAAGTTTTATTAAAGTTTTATTACTCTCTTTTTTTTTTTTTTTTAATTTATGATAGGTTATGTTATCTGTACATTAAATGAATGTGAGAATGGCTAAGTGTGTGTAGAGGGGCTGTGGTAAAATCATAATAATGCTTTTTTTTCTTTCTTTTGTTACTCCTTTAAAGCATGGTTCTCTTTTTGTGGTTTCACAGGAGAGTTTGTTTTGTTTTCTCAAGTCACGTGTTGTAATGTTTTTTTCTTTCTTCTCTTCTATATTAAGAAATAGTTCTGAATGTGTCAATTTTCATTTTTCTTTATAGGTTCTGCCCAGTTGATATTTAATGTGACAGACGTTGTTGAAAGAACTGTCTGTAATAAAACTGTAATTCTACCTTGCCATGTGATTAATCTAAAGGAGAACAATTCAAATGTCATGTTTGTTACGTGGAAAAAACAAGGAAAAAGAATTTTTTCTTTTCATGGAGCAAGTCAAGAGTTTTTCAGAGATGAAACGGTTCCATCAGCTAAGTTAGTATCTCAGGCGGATTTACCCAAGGGCGATGCCTCTCTAATGCTTAACAGTGCAGAAGCAGATGTTGGAAATTACAGCTGTGAAGTAACAGAATCAAGCAGAGAAGGAGAAACAAGAGTTGAACTTAGAAACCGCTCAGGTGAGTTGCCTGCCATTGTTTTAGAACCTCTTGGGAGAGAAAACAAGCAAAAATCTTACAGGAAAGGGAAAAATAATGAATATGACAATGTATTACTTTAAATTAAAAGTATAAAAAATGTAGCCCCCGGGCCTTCTAACTTGAATGCTAATATGAGTTATTTCAGATTAAGTTATAGGGGAGTGCTTCTGTGGGAAAGATCTGAACACATTTTTTCATTCCATAATAATGTCTGAAGATCACTTGTCTGACATAGTAAAATCTAGGGTATATAGTTGGTGATTTTTTCAGCACCCTCATGTTATTGCATTACATACTGAAACATGTTCCTAATATCTTTGCAATGCTGAGATGTATACATCCATCACAGTGGCTGCAGAGATCTTTTCTTTGAAGAATTGCATCTTGCAATCTTTAGCTCTGCTGGAAAAACTTCCACGTAGAACTAACAGAAATTCTGTATGAGAGCTCTAAAACTTGATCTGAAGGTATGCAGTTTTCCAGTGAGGCTGGAAATGCTACTGCGAGATGGTAACTGGTTACAGTTGCCTAGCATTAAATGTCATCTTCAGAAGACGATGTTTAAAATAATGGTGACTAAGTGATGAATTTCTCGTTTAGTGAGCCATTTTACCATATCTTGTCAGGCGCAGCCCGTGTGCTCTAGCACCTCAGCTATTGAATAATGGGGTCAGCTGTACATGTGTGTGCAGTCTGTCTAGTACTCTGCAGAGGTGGCAGTTTCACTGAACATATGTGTGTATTATTTATCTGTTCTGCATGGGAGACGTGCTCCTTGCTTCTGGAGGGTTTCTCAGAAGCGCTGAATATTACATATGCTCAGCACATGGAGTCTTACCTGTGCACTGTAGAATTGTCCTAGAATGTTTTTGCTATTAGTTTTTGTATCTGTCATTAAAATATTTAGGAAATTCAAACAGATGTTACTTGTGTCCTGCTGCAAACATCTGTGTAATTCACAGTTGGGTCTAATTATTGAGTTAACCATATACGCTGCAAAACAAATGTGATCCTGAAATGGACTGAGAGGGGCACAGCCACTGAAAGAGCGAGGATGCTACAAAATCGTTCGGTTCTTAGAACACTGCAAAAACAGGGGAAGAGGTATAGGCAGTTTCCTTCCTTCTGTTGTAGCTTCTTACTTAACCTTTTTGGACTGTTTTTGCCATTCAGTCGTAAGCTCTAGAAGAGGAAACAAGGCTTGAGGATGTAGTAGAATCAAGTCCCATTTGAAAGTTTTATTGTTTTATTTTGACTTTCTCTGTGTTTAGAATTTTGAAAGTGGTATAAAGACTGCAAAGCAGGAAACTGATGTAATTTTTCTAATTTCGTTTTCTAGTTGTCAGTTGCGGCGAGGAAAGTACCCCAACACCAAAGGAAAAATGTGGTTGGTGAATTTATAGTTGCGAGGTCACATTAGGTTTGAGAGTATATGCTACAAAATGTAAAACTTAGTCTTATGTTTGAGGGTTTAGCTGAAGGTAAAACAGTCACTTGTTCTCTCTTTAAATTCTTCTGCATAATTTCTTGTTATTTCTTCCTCAGTGTTCTAGCGAGACTCTAGAGATAATAAGCTAATAGAGGAAAGTGTAGCAAGTGAGTTTTGAAAAGGGTTAGTGAATAATGGAAATCCTGTACCAGTCTTCATGCTGTCATTTCTGAGCAATGGATTCATGCTGCCTCTATTAATACGTTCCAATTGATGCTTTTACAAAGATAGGCTTATAAGAGCCAACCATTCTCCATCTCACTTTACAGAATTCCTGGATTCACATAGGAAGTGGATAGCAGAGTGAGCAAGACTTATATGCTAGTGCCCTTGTCTTGGGGCACACTCTCCTGATCAGTTGTCTTCACAAGAGAGTGACTGTAAAGTTTCCCCTTTTTCTTTTCTTTCCTTTTCCTCTCTTCCTCTTTTCCTCCCCTCGTTTTCTCTTTTCCCCTTTTCCTCCCCTCGTTTTGTCCTTTCCCCTTTTCTCCCCCCTCTCCCCCCCGTTTCCTTTTCCCCTGCTCTCCCCCCATGTCTGGAAGTCTCTCTTGTTAGTTTGGAACTGACTTCCTTATCTTGGCTCTTAGTACTTTTTGCCAGGAGTTTACTTTATTGCTATGAAGCACCAGAGTAAGGGAAATGTATTAGCAGGAAAATGTGTTCAGCTGTTTCTCTTAGTTGTATGTTGCATGTACCACCAGTATTGCAAGCATTTCCATACAATAAGCGCTTTGGGACTATGAGACTGGACCATACGTGGTTCCATGTTGCATGCTGAAGTCCTAGCAGATACCAGGCTTCATGGCTGCTTTTTTTCTATTTGTAATACCTGCTGGTGTCACCTGGAAATGCTGCAGAGGAAGCGAAGCTGCTTTTCAGTCTCTGCTTGCAGATACTTTCAATTCATTAATAATTCTCAGTTACATTGAACACCATAAATGGGATTTGCCTGTAAGTATTGGCTAATCTAGAGAATAGCAACTGTGCATTGAAGTTATTGTTCAATATTAGTTGCTTTTTTGAAAATGCAAATGAAGCAAAAAGCCTTCCTTTAAACAGTTAATTAAATTAGGCTTCTTTTGGCGATAAGGAAGTTGGCAGATATTCCTCCATTTCTCTGCCTTTAGTATATTTTGTGATTGCCTTGTATTTATGTTGTATTTTCTTCTGTGACCCCTTGCGGGGGGAGGGGAGGGGGAGGAGGGGAATTTGTGAATTGAAAACTGTCCTCAAGGTATTTACTTGGCATTGAAAGTTATGAGGTATTGCTACTTAATTCCATGTTTCTGGGGCTGCAGATACAGCTTTTAAATATGGAGAGTAAGTGCAAGGAGTATGCATCCAAATGAAGATTAGAAATTTCTTTGGAAGCAAGCGTGGAGGCAGAGGAACGGTAGCAAGTATAATGCAAGAAATGGAGACTTTGGACTCCACTGAGTGAGTCTAAATGGAATTATGAGCAGAGATGCAAGAATCAACTGCATTTTGTGGTTCAGTGGAGATGTTTTCAGAATTTTATGTTGGAAGGTGGCTTACATGGTCTTACAGCACAAGTGATTGAACAGCCGAAGGCGTCCAAGTTGCAGGGGAAAAAAAGCTAAATGGATGATGGTGGGAAGACCTAAAGGAAAATGTGTGATTTCTAAAATTAACAAAGCAGTATTTTGCTCTCACTTAGATTAGCTCCCATATTCCTTATCACACATCTGGATTTCTTCAGGAATTACAGCAGTTGGAGGTAGAATAGAATAGCTGGGGAAGCATCAAATTGTACTTTTATATCTTGCCCAGCTTCCCCGCTTAGCCTAAATACACCATTTTTCTGATCTACTGTGCTGTTTGTAGTTCTGCAAGCTAACTAGCTTGTACTGCCAGACAATAGCATAAACATATCCTCTGCTGCAGTGGAGGTTAAGACCTCCAGTTTGGAAAATGTTAGGGTAATAGAAATACTGAAAAAAATAGATTGTCATGCACAAGATCAAAGTGAAAAATACATAGGTAGAAGTCATAGCTTTCTTAGCCTGTTATAACTCTTAACGCTGTTACATACAGCAATGAGCAATCTAGAGCATAGCCTAAAAGGAGCAATAAATGTAAAGCTAATAACCTCAGTTTTTGTTTTCTTCCTACCATTTTTCTTTGTTTATTCTCTAGGATCATGGTTTATTCTGGTGGAAAGGGCTATCATCATTGCGTTGCTGTTCTTAGTTATTATTTTGTGTTCAGCTCAGTTAAGTGTGATTGGTAAGTATTGACTCTTTAATTCTTTGCAATTATTGATTTGTCCTAAAATCACTTGCTTGCATAAAGGCATCCATGCAAGATGAAAGATGGTGCTTACATCTAAAAGATGTCTGGTAGAATTGATCCAGATAATACAGAGAGGGGTGGTACGTCTGCTTTGTCACATAACATGGTGTTTGGTTTGCTCTGGAATCCTCTCCTGATCATCCACACTGTGTTACTTCCGTTCATTTTTGGGCTTTCTTTTGGCATGAGTCAGCTAACACAACAAGGGAGTTAACTCGTATACAGTTCTCAAGGTAGTTCCTAATAAACACTGTTACTTAGAGGCTTGGTCAAGAGCGCACCAAGCTACGCTCTTTTGTGCTACATAGTCTTCCATTTCCTTTTCAGTGAGCCTTGCACTCTTTCAGGACACGTAGCATGCGCTTTTGGCATCAGGCTACGAAAACACTAGTCTGGCATAGCATTTGCAGAGTTTGGGACCTTTGAACTGAAAACAAACATCACCTCATCAAAAAGATGTGTGCTTTGGGGCTTCAGCATGCCACGTGGTGCCCTGGTCACGCGGTGTGGACGCAGGCGCTGTGTTGAAGGGGATCTAGCCCTAAGCCGTGGGATCTGGGCCAGTCTGCTCTATTTGCTTGGAGGCCAGGTGTTGCTTCCTGGGGTTAAGATTTTTAGCAGCTGTATGTCTTTGTAGACAAAGGTATGACGTGCAGCCTAAAGGGTCTGTGCTTAGAGCTAGTCTGCCATGTGGTGATGTTTCTGATGCCAGTACTGTTGCAAATGATGTGAGCTTTTTTGCATGTGTGTAATTTTTGTGGGGTATAATTGATAATGTCTACTGTTATTGGTTAGGACAAGGAAGCTTTTCTTCATTGTTGGTTCACCATGACATGGAGTCATTAGAAACATGTTTCATTTTATGGTCATGAAATCAATATTAGAGAAAGATGGTGCGCTCTCCTTAATGTAAAATTGTTCATTAGTCTTTTAGCATTGGCTGAGTTATAATTTAACACTGACATCAATGATTTTGTTAAAATGTTTTCAGAGGTAATACGTTCACCAGTGTCCGACATCCTCAGATCTTCTTTATACACTGGTGTCCAACATGTGTGCAATGTAGAGTGTGCTTCATGTCCTAGTCTGTCAGACGGTTCCCTGTGGTGCAATTTGTTACATCAGTCTTTGAGGTTTTTTTCAGCCTTTTCGATTTGTAGACTTCTGAAAAATAAAAAAATTGAAAGATTTCTGCTGGAGTTGAGTCCATAAGAAATGGAAAGAAATTGCTGTCAGTGATTTATAGTAATCACATACATATTGAGCCATCTGTATATAATTTCCTTTATTACCTTTTGACAAACCTCTGAAAGTGGTATGTGACTCTTCAAAGGTTCATCCATGGTCAGAGGTTGACAACTAATACATATTAAAAATTATTTTATTTCCGTAGTGTTAGATTCCCGATTTTCATTATTGTTTATAATGGTTTAGGAGTCTCTGATTTGTTCTGGTATGTTCAGGAATTGTCATTCCCTCCATTCATTGCAACATTTTTAGCATTTTGATAGGAAAGTAATAATTGACCTGAAATAAGCATGGATATGTCCATGGAGAAGCACTGTCATTTTACAGGAGTAAGTTGAGCCTGCTTGGATTTTATTGCATCAGTGCACTTTATTGTGGATTCTGTGACCCCTCTGGGGAAAAGTAATCATGCTACCTCTAATTTAATAAATGTGGGTGTCCTGACTGTTTGGTTTTTTTGTTTTGTTTTTTGTTTTGTTTTTCCATTCTTTAATTTGCATTGGTTTAGTTAACCTGTGAATCCAGGAATGCTACAGTATACCTTTAAATAGTTTGTTAAACTGGGCTTGATTTTTCTGTGTAACACTTGGGAATATATGTTTTCTTGGGTTTGTGTTTTATGGGGGGGTTTGTTTTTTGGGTGGGTGGGTTGGTTGGTTTGGGGTGGGTTTTTTTTTGTTTTTCTGCTTGCAGGATTGGCTTTTAGGATTTAAGTATAGCATATCTGTTATTTATTTTTGCCTTTGTGTCTTGCTTTCCTTAATTAGCATATTTATAATATGAAAAAAATGTGAATTTCCAGTACAGATATGCAGGAAGATTTTACTATTACTACTATTCCAAATAAGTTTTTGGTTTAAATGACAGTAATACTTGGGAGTATGACTGGGGTCCTGTTGTGTTAGACAGTGTGACTATAGTGAAAGATAGAGTTTTAATTACAAGGGAGACTATTCTGTAACCCTTCCATAGATAAGACACTATTAAAGATTTTGTCATATGTACCCTCTAGAATATTTACTGTATCCTCGTGATATTTTTTTTTTTGTGCTAACGCTGTGCATGTAAGTGGGATGTTAATTCTGTATGTGCTCCTTGTTTTTCTTTTTGATGTTACTTACAGTATTTGTTTGTTCTCTGTTTGTGACTACCAATTTCAACATGTACCAAGATTGTTGGTATGTTAATTTTCAAGCTTGGAGCAAGAGCTGCCTTTTTTTGTGTCTTAGTTTTAGCGGCGTATAAGGCAGAAACAAACATGGCTTATTACGATGTTGTATTTGTACTGTTCCCTCTTTTCCAAAGACTACTAAAGTGCTGCTGCTTTGAAACCCTCCACTGGAATGAACCATTTCTGAGATGGCAGCTATTTAGCAGTGCAGTTTTACTGAAAATTAGTCTTGTCTATGGTGTCTGAACATGTAGGTCATCCCATGTCTACTCATCCTCAAAGCATTCTGGTGAGATGGGAACATCACCCAGTTCACTTGGGGATGGAGGTGGTACATCTGAGCTCACACAGTGTCACAGCGAAGAGAATTAAACCTGGAATTTCTAAATCCCTGTCTGACACTCACCTAAGTAACAAATTCACTGTAACATTATTTAAATGTCAGTAGTTCATCTACTTGAATTAACCTGTACCATGTCCCAAAGTGATTTTGGTAACATATCACCTGAATTGTATAGAAGGTGGAATTAAGAATTTGACTAAACCACCAGTGCCAGGTTTCATTTATCTGAGTAAGTCATATTAACCATAACAAACCACGAAAACAAATGAAATCTTGGTAATATTTATAGTTCTAATTTTTAGGTGTTTGTTTCTTTTAGGACAACAGTCATACATCTGTGTATTTTAGTGAGAGAATCTGTGTGTCTGATTGTTTTCCTCTCTGTCTCTCTTTGTTTTGTCTTTAAGCATTAAGATACGAAATTGAAACTCAGAAGAAAATGGGTGTTATTGTAGCAGGTATCGTCTTCACAGTTGCTGCTGTTGTAGGCACTGTTCTTTTTGTCCAAGGTAAGTGTATTAAAATTGCCTTCCTAGTTTAAGGGAATAAGAGCACAAATTAGTCTCTTCCATGCAGTAGTATGGAAATTAATACCACCTATTAATTGCAATCTACTAATTTTAGTGTTAAAAAAATAAATTACAGAATACAACAAAAACAATGTTGTGGTTGTCAGGCACTCAGATGATCATAGGGAGATACAGGCTCCAAATTTATTTCTATTTTCTGTCCTGCTACCTTGGGTGAATATTAGGGGCTAGGGAGTGACTTCTGGTGCTTCAGTGGGATTTTTTCTGAACCCTAAGAACTCGATGATTCTAATAATTTACTTCTGTTGCTTTGTGCTTTTTTCTGATCAAGGATTTCTGTTTTACTAATTTCCATACAAATGTTTGCAGATGGCTATACTGCACAGAATCAAGCTGGTCTTGGCCTAATTGTAGTCCCTGCTGTCATTTTGGTACCGCTTCAATACTTTATGTTTGGAATTGGTGAGTATTTATTTATTCACTAGCTCAAGAACATACAGGTAGAAAAACTGAGCTCCTTCCCCTCCCCCCCGCATAATCTACCTACTATTTTTGTTTTTATAAATAGGTGCTATGATAGCATGCTGGGTTCCTGACCTTCCTAGTATTCAAAATAAAATGTTTAACTTGTGTTTGTTTGGCTAAGTTCCTTCAGGGAAGAAGTATAAGTTACCTGCTTGAAAAATGAGATTTAGGGTAGGACATCTGAGTGATTCCTACTCTTTCTTCCTGGGTCTTGGGAGTGGGATGAATAACTAACTCAGAATGTACGTGTTTCATTTATTCTACTTACAGTTTATTTATAATTTTATTTATATATACATATATTTTTATATGTGTGTGTGTATACATACAAGAGCCCTGAGTGACTTGCAGTGACTCGCGAGTTTTGTCATCACACTGGCTGGCTGAGCTTGGAATTTAGGAGAATCTGATTTCTGCCTTCGTGTGAATGACCTACCTTTTGTATCTCTTTAGTTAATCTTTAAAAATTACAGTTCTGTTTCTCTTTCTGTCTTTCCCAGTTTTCGATAGTCTACCACAAGCAACACTTGCTCTGATAGGCTTGCAAATTCTTGGTTATATAATTGCTGTGGTTGGTTTTGCACTGTGTGTCTCAGGTAAGCAATTTATCTTCTGTAAAAGTGTCTTTTTACTTTTGTCTGTACCTGATGTTTGATTATTCATAACACTAAAATGCTGTGAAAACGGCTTTGCTACATTGAGCGTTAGCAAGTAACTTCTGTGAATGTACTTTAGGACTACCGTGTTAGTTTTATCTGGTGAAAGAATAGCCTAAAGGCAGTATTACATATATCAGCTTCATTAGTATGACTATATCCAGCATGACTGTGTTCTATGAGCAGTTGCTTTAAAAAAAAAAAAAAAAAAAAAAAAAAAAAAAAAAAAAAAAAACAGTTAATTGTTTTAATTTTGCAACAGTTGGTGCCCTACTGAGTCACCTAAAACCAGCACTGACCTTTATTACTGTCATTCTTACTGAGGCCTAGGGTATTTAAACTAGACTCGTATTTAAACTAGAGTCATAATAATTTTTTCATATTCAATGGATAAATCCGAAATTCCTTGTTAATCTCCACTTGTATGTGGCTGATAACAGAGTCGCTTGGAAATGAATACCATTGAAACAGCCTAAGAAGGCAAACGGAGAGACAGTAAACTTGGAAGTGTTCTTGGACTGTTTTAAGTCTGGTTGTTGCTGGCATTCTGTTTCAGCACTGAAAAACAGTCCTAGTTGTAAAGGAACACCAACTGAACACTGCACACAGCCATACCCCGTATTCCTGCCTCTAACCTTCCCTTTGTCCCCTGCCTGCCTTCTCCTCCACCCACCAGAAAACCACACAGCAGAGAAAAGAGTGAGTTCAGGACTAGGCATCCTTGGCAGCGTATTTAGTGGTAGAATACATACTCACATTCACTGGAAGCTCTTCATACCCTGATTTATTGTTTCTTAGAGACATTCTTCATTTTAATCGTTTACTTGGTTGGGGATTTAAGAAAAACTGTTTCTCCTTGAAGTGGTTTCTAAAGGGTTGTCTAATCAGGGTGAAATGATAGACCTTTCAGTGGAGTTGTGATTTGAGTTTTATGCTTATTGTTTAGTATTTACAGAAGTATTTGTAAGGGGCACCTGAGTATTGTCAAATGTAATAGTAAAATAAACTGATGGGAGATTTCTGGTAAAGCATTAATCCTCTACAGTAATACAAAATGGAGGATGTTTTTATTATGCTCTGAAATGGAAAGTCTCCCTAGTTTTTCAGGGTGACCTTTTCACAGGTCAGATAAGGTAGGTGTTACCTGTATCTCTGGAAGTTTAGCTCAATGACCCTTAAGTGTCAGTAGAAATAGCTCATCCTAGGTTGAGCTCACAGGTGGTTGCAATGACTTCAAGATCCTGGAAACAAGGATCAGAGAACAAGCAGTTTCTGTAGTGAACTATGGTTAGGTTGTAATAGCCTGTTCCTGCTCTGTGATATCCCTGTAAACATGGAGCACTCCTCTGTGGTGGATTTGCCTCAGAACTACCTTCATATTCTGCTCCCTTCTTCCTCTTTTAACTCTATTTTATTCTGTAATCTAATGTAATTATAGTTCAAAACAATTGGGGTTGAAGATGTAAGTTTAAATTGAAAATACAATTAATGAAAGAATGTTGTCAGTTGCAGTGAATGACAGTAGAATAGCTAAACTGTAGCAGAATAGTACAGCCAAGCAGGATAAATCAGTAAATGCCTCTGTATCATTAAAGAATGTATACAGAAAAAGAAAGATGCAGGAACCTTTGAAAGGGAAATTAATCACATCTGTTTTTATCAGGCTTATTTATTTTAGTATTCAGTTATATCTGAAAAGAAAAGTTTGTGCTTTTACCTGTGTCCGATTAAAACAGTTTCTTGTATTGTGTTTTTAACAGCCTGTCCTCCATTACATGGGTCCATTGTGATTGCTGGCTTAGCTATTACGGCTATTACAAATTTGCTTAGTCTGGCTTACGTGTTTATTATGGGTAAGTAGCACCTAATATTCTGCATTTTTTTTTTTAGCACTTAAATATTCAGAAGTGCAATTTTCTCTATTGTACTTTTCAGAGGTAGACATAGCTTATTCGAATGTAAGGTGTGATTTCACAATTACATAGTTTAAAAAAATTACTGAAAAATTGTCTGTATATATTGGCTTTGTTTCATAGAAACTGTTGGGGAATCTTGGATAAAGCAATTTACAGTTTATCATGATAAACTGTCTTGAGATCAACACAGCCAGGTTTCTTAAGTAAGAGTGTTTCAACTGTAGGAGAGATGTTGCTGTTTAAGCTCTCCATTTACACAGTTGGCTAGCTGAAGCTTAGAACGAAGAGAGCAAAAGGAGTTCAGGGATTCCATAGAGTGGGTTATGGGATGGTGCAGACAAAAGCTTATCAGAATATGAATTTAAAGAAGCAAAATCTGCCTAGTGATTTCTACTGATTAGAGCTAGGTTAAAATAAGAGTGATTTGAGTGCCCACCTTTCATTCTAGTGAATCCTGCTTTTTCTTATACTTAATTTTAAAAGCCAGGAGCAAAAAATAGCAATACTTTATTTCAGGAACTGGTCTGTGCACCAGATCTCAAAAAGATGAGAGATTTAAAGGTATAAAAGCCAGCGAGGCCT